GGGGTAACGGTGGCGGCCTATTAGGTGCCTTCACAATAAAGTGGCCACTACTTCTGGCCTTAGGAGTGGTCAATGCTTAAAAAGCAAGTGCCCGCTGCTTTAAAAAAAAAAAAAAAAAAAAAATTGGTATTTACCGAGGAACTTTAAGCGAGACCAATCTGAATGCTTTCAGATTTCGCAACGATATTTTTATCTACGTTATTGGTTTACACGTGCTTACTGAAATAAAATAGCTGTAAGGACCTCAGAAACTCAAAAACGTGCTCAAATTTCCTTAAAGTTACATATAATGAGGCTTTTAGAGAGAGACCAAAAAAACATTTTTTTTTTTTTTTTTTTTTTTTTTTTTTTTCTGTTTACGCCACTCTGTTTCAGACAAATCATTAAATTTTGTTTTCCTTCAATTCACCTTAGATATAAAATAACTTTGATTCTCCGCTTTAAAATAATATTTTACTTGCTAGACCTATAAAGAAAATAGTAAAATTTTGTTACAAATATTTGATTCATTAAATAAAAACAATTAAAATCCGAATTTAACTTGAAAATGCATTACAAGGGAAAATATTAATGATTTTAACTTGTTTTGAAGACTCTTATCATGTATATCATGTATTAATGGTTTTACCATGTTTTTTAATGACAAAAATTTATAAAATTTCAAGCCCAAATGAAATGCCACAAACTTTTCTTAGTTCATTCCGTAATCGCTAGGATTTGTTAAATCACTGGAAATTTCACATTTAGTATAAAAGATAACTCTTTTTAAAATTTATGCACGAATTAATAAAATTTATAAATGAGTATCACTGTACTTTTAAAAAAAAGCATACAAATATCAAGAGCCATTTTTTAAATAATTTTTTCTATTGTCTCTTTAACATTATTCAGCCCTACTGCAATTAATTGTTGCTAAGTATGCTTTTAGTAATAGTAGTAGTTAATTTTCCGAGTATATTTTAAGCTTTTATTGCTATTCGAAGCTGGAAGGCAACGTTTTCTTGCTCTTAAAACATATTTTTAAAGTAAAACAAAGGTTGGGGATTTTATTTTTACTATCCAACTGAAACATTTAATAAGTTTGAGAGAATGGGAAAATCTCCACTGAATATTCGTTTTTATAAGCGCTTTGCGGCTACTGAAACTGAAATTGAAAAATGGGCTTTCTAATAATTCTTCTCTTTCGTTTTCTTTTTGATTTTAATGCGCAATGTAAAGCAACTTAACGAATCATTGTCATGTATATAGGCAGTCATCAGCTTTGCTTGACAGAACATATTTTTTCTCTCAACTCTCATTTCTAACTGAAACTAAAAAACCAAATGTACAAAATTTAAGACCTAAAACATCAGAAAACTGGACAAAAATTTGTGCATATTTAATAAGTCTTTGGCTTGTGAATATTTAACAAGTCTTCATTCATGATACCTACTTGCTTTTTTTCACAAAATTGACCTGAAAACCGGCGGACTTTTTATGTAATCAATAATTTCTATAATTTCTTATTTACGAATGGCAACAATAGCAGAGGCTAGTATATTAAAAACTTCCCGCATTGTAGTTAATTAAAAGCTTAAAAGACACGCATAGTAATTAATATTTAACGTTGCCATTTTCGAATTAATGAATACTGGAAAATTAAATAAAAGGAAATAAGAATCTTCAGATGCGTCATTATCAAAATTCCATTTCTCTGAAAGAAAATAAAGTAGGAGTCTGCAGTCACGTCTAAACCTTACAGGTTCAAGGAAACAACAGACATTCGCCATCACGATGTCGACAATAGAAAAAATTTCTGAACAGGATTTAATTTCCGTAGCTTAATCACGAAATTTCAAGTACTTCGTTCTTGATGTATTTATTTTGAAATATTATGTCGAGAAAATGCATAGCCATTTTATTCTATTGTTCAAAAATCTGCACTGTGCACTTTGTTCTGTAACTTCAGTTTCTGTTTGCAAAGTGTAATAGAACTTCGGCACATAGTAGATATTAACATGCTAAGAATGCATATTGTATTTTCTTCTTTATTTTCTGAAACTTTTCATTATCTCGAGATGTAATACTCAAAGTAACTTGAGCTGTCCTTGATTTTCAGCGTAGTTTGAAAAATTCAAAAAAATTCACCAAAAGGATAATTTACCTAACATTATCAACAATGTTGATAATGACTATTTTCAAAACTACAAATACTAGTTCGGAATGTACATTGCTTCTAAAACCAGCCATTTTGATGGACTAGTAGCACTTATACAATAATACACGGTGTATCCTATAATTTTCAGGGTTAATATTCAAACCGTATTTGCACCATTTTCAAATAAATTATTATAGTGTATAAAATGAGCTTTTCTTTGCGGAATGGGAGAATTTCAAAGTCCTGCAAGTGCTAATTCAAAAGTCAAACAACAAGTGATTCAAGTAAAATGCTACAATAATAGAAGCAACAACCTTCGAAGCAGGCATGTAGAGAATTCATTACAAATTAAGAGAACATGTTGTGGTAACAGCAGTTACCACAACAGACAAGTTGTGGTAATGGCAGTTTAATCCTATCACTTTTCCTACTGACATATTCAAATGACTTACAACTTTTATCAGAATTGCATAAATAATTGGCTCATAGGACATCCATGTTTCCCTCAAACCCCCAAACTAAAAAAGCTCGTCAAATTTTTTTGTTTGATCGCTATTGGTCTGTAAAACTCATCCGTGGTTTGCTTGAGCTAACTCTTTAAATAGTTTATGTTTTGCATTCCACAGGCCTCGGGATTTGCTTGTTTGTTGTTAATAGGCAAAGCATGTATAAGCTACCATCCTAACTTTACTTTTCTTCATTCCACTGACAAAGCAAATGATCCGATTAAGGATGGTGGTTATCAGCCTGTTTAAACTCTGCCAGTCATTGGAAGAAAGTTGGATGAAATGAGCTGTCTTTAAAGCAAAGGGTAACGAAAGAAGAGTGTAAAGAATGAAGTCAGCCGTGCGGCTAAAGTAGTCTGTTTTGATTGCCCTACTATTAAGCTGAAGAGGGCGATGCATGTCATGTTCTTTTGGTTTGGTTTAAAAAACAGAGCTGTTTTTTTTTTTTTTTTTTTTCCTGGGCATTCAAAATACTATACTGTTACAAACATACTCCTGTACTCGTTGGAAAATAGATGCATAACAATAAACTATTACTCAAAGAAGATAATTCATAACATAAGCTGTATAATACAATTCATAACATAAGCACTTAAAAATATTGTGCATTAACAAAATACTGGTACACCAGTACAGGTACATAAATATAGTGGTATGATACAATCATAATATTAGTTCAATATTATGATAGACTATTATATTCCGAAACTAGTGCGCTTTACAAATCCGTTGTACATATATTAATACTATATTAATACTGCTACACAGAATTTACATTGGAGATAGACATTCAAACAATACTTGAAAAGACATGCTGAAAAGTGTCCTGATGTACAACTATCTTGAAAAAATTTGCATATTATGCATTTTCGAAGTTAATGGCAGCTCTGCCCTTTGCTATAGCAGGAAGCCATTTAGTTATTTAGTCAGTTGGAGATTCCAAATGAGGTCTTTTTAAGCAAAACTGCATCATACTTACTTCACTCATAGAAAAGACCATAAAAACACACAGGGTCAGTCCATTCGACGAAATTCTAACTCGTATCGAACTACCGGTGTTCAGAGGTATTATCTACTCAGCCACTAGTGAACGGAGGGTTTGGAAAACATGAAAGTTTTGTGTTTGGTTGTTCTTAAAAGTTTTGAAACAGAGCAATATTCCAGGGCCTGGTCAGAGCTATAGATAGGGAATAAATATGATAAATCCCCATCAGCTTGACCTACAGTGCCTTTCCTCCTTCACCCAGCCATTTTCTACGTTGGTGTCAGAGAGATCGAAGGGATTAAAAATATTTTCTCCTTTATATTATTGAGTGAAAGGCTTTGGTTCAATTCCTAACGCAAGAAAGGCTAATTTTTAGAATTCCTACTCACAGTAAATAAATAAATAGAAATTAATGACTCTCCAAGTGGTTTTTTTCTTTTCTTTTTTCAAAATTTTATTTGGGTGGACGGCAAAGAAGCAAACGTCTGAAAGTTGCACTTTAACAGCAATCTAAGGACTATGAACTCCTCAATAAGAGTACTGACGCAGAAGGAATGTATATAGCATATCATAACTTCTACACTTTTATTATATTTGGCTAAATAAATTTTTCTAGACCTTTTCTAAATAATAAGATATCATATAAATGCTAATGAATATTCTTCAAGAACTAATATGCAGATTAAGTGACTAAAGTTTGAATTAATATCAAAGGCGGGTTGGAATCAAAGTTTAGGGGGAGCTAATTTCCATTGGAGAATCGGCCAATTATATAATTAGCAGCAATATTATAATTTCATTCAGTAGCAAAAATAAAACATTTTCACTTCTTTGCAAATCTAGATTTCTCCAATGGAAGAATAACATCAATTTTTTTTTCAAGGTTATATTTTCGAAGTACAAATATGTCAACTATTCCGGGATTAGTTAAATATTACTTGGTACAGGCAACATGTTTTAAAGATGTCTTTCAGTCAACTGTTACCACAAGCAGTGAAGAACATTATTTGGATTGTTAGTTCATTGAAGTTTTTAAAATTAAATTCAGGATTTGATTATTTAAAAGAATTACCTGAGCGTTTCGATTATTTGTTTTCTGACTAGAATGATAATAATTTTTAACCCCTATATTTGAACTATATAGTAACAAAGATTTTCAAGATCAATGGAATTAAACAACATCTTTTTGAATAAAAACTATGAAAAAAGTGCACCGCTAACACTTTTTGCGGAATTCGACAGATTTTTCTGGGAACTAAAGTAAATAATTTATTTTGCTTTTCTTCCTGTTTATATTAATGGGATATGTTTAGCGTACAAAAATTCAATACATTTGAGTAATATATGGGAAAATATGCGCTAAATTACTTACACAGACATCATGACAAAATGAAGATGATGCAATGGCATTTGTCCATAAGTCGCAACCTTCGTGGCACTAAGGAGAAAGAAATTGTTATTAACATAATATAATTTTCAAATTTGAGCTTAAAAATTGACATCATACATACATAATGGTGCAGTTATCATTGGTTATTAGTAGTTAACAATCATATTGTTACGAAATGTCCAGCCGCGGTAAGATAGCTTTCCCTGAAAGCTAGTTTCGAGTTGCTAGAAAATGGCAAGGGAAGGCAAGGTTGCCAAATTTGGCGAGAAAGCGCCCATTCGGCGTCAAAATTAGTGCTATGTCATAGACGGATGGAGAACCTTCATGAACGAATTCTTACCGGTTCGGACCACAATGTTCTCGAAGGCAGCCCAAAAGCTATATAAACCCTGCTTGCACACGGTGTAGCAGTGAGTGAGTGATAATCTAGTCTAGTCAGTCAGTCAGTGTCCAGTCTAGCGAGTTGGTCGTAGGAATATCGTGAGTCTAGCGAGTGCATCGCTAGTTGTAGCGTGGAGAGTCTCGAAAGTACCAAGAACGACTGAACCGAGTCGGGAGCTGTGCTTTGGTGCTTTGCCGTAAAGCTGTTTCCACCGTTATACCCTGAAGGCTGTATCGCTGATTGTTTCAGCGGGTTTGTCATAGCTTTTCGACGACTGTTTTGGAGCTGTCCTGAGTAATACTGGCTAATAAATTGTGTTTTGATACTTCGTCAAGTGGCTTCGTTAATCACTTCAAATCCACGAACCCGTACAGAAACGCAACAATTTGATAGAAGTAGTTAGTCTTAAAAAATTTTTAAATGCAAAAATAGTTTAAATGTTAACTTAATGCTTAACCTAACTGAAATCTCGAGACTAACCAAATTTATCTATTTAGTTTTACTTTTCTGGTTATTTACCCATAACATGTATTAGCAAAATTCTACAATTTTAGATTTTTAGTACTGAACATTTTGGAGATTTTGATGATAAATCTGAACGCTTTTCAAATTAAATTAGCATCATTTAAAAGAAGCACACCTTCCCGTAAGATTTTAAACACAAGAAATATAACTCATGTTATTAAGAGCAGATTTTTAAAAGCAATAAAAAAGGAAAGCTTAAATCGGTCTTTAATAATTAGGGCTTAAGCTATATATATGAACAAAAGTTAAGAAATTTCAAATTGAGATGATGTATATTAAAGTGACGCAGTATGCTGCGAATTTAATTGAATAATTAACAGATAATAATTAAATCACGAAAATGACTAACTCCTCAATAGAAAATATTCAAAACAAAATTGAAGTTAAAATTTGAATTAAATTAAAACAAAAACAATTCAAAATAGATTTGAAATTTGAGTTTTTTTTTTATAGTTTAATATCAGTATTTCCAGTTGGAAAGTTGTCTCCTTCCTGATCTTATATTTGATTTAATTATTGCGTCTTCATTATATATATATGTATGTGTGTGTGTGTATGTGTGCCATAAGTTGCTTTAAATGTTATTTAAATAAATTTTGAAAATATTTAGCAATTAATTGGATCTTTTCCTGAATTATTAAAAACAGATTAGTTTTCTTTTCCGTTTCCTTCAAAAATCTTTTCTGAACCATGTGGATCTACATTTCTCACTTATTAAAATCTTACGAGAAAGTATACTTATATACATATATATATATAAGTGTGTGTATGCACAACTAATTAAAAAGGATTTACTTAATTGTAATTAAATACGATTAAGGAACATATTCGAAATACATTTTAACCATAAATCGTTCTAGAGCAGCTAAAGGTTACGCCATTATCGAGTCAAAATTTTCCATTCGTTTTAATGAGGAGTAATTTTTTAAAGTTACATATTTTAAAATAATTCAATTAACTTAAAAATTATTTTTAAAATACCATTATTTACAGAAAAAGTCTAGCAGCACTATAAAAGTAATAATAAAAACGATTTGTTTATGCATTAGGTATCAAACTGATCGGAATGTGGCAAGGAAGAATCAATATTCATCATCTGGAAGCACAACGCCACTTAAAGTTTTATTTATGCTCTGCAGCTTTTCATTCACGAAGCACATTTAAAAATATAAATTTCATGTACAGTAATTACAGAGGCGGGTTTATTCTGCTAGTTTTCTATCGTGTCTTTACTAAAGAAATAAATATCATTAATTTTTGCTATTTATTTAAAGAAAATAGCCGCTCGCAAAATTCCACCAATAACGCCAAATTTAATTTAAAATCAAAATCAAGTAAGCGTTGGCTTTTGATGAATATTCAATACTCAAATTGGAGTGCATGTCTTGTATCAGTTAAAGAAAATAATCCTTACGTTTGGAAGTAATCCATCAGGTTTCGACATTATCTTCAAACGTATGATTATACTTCCTTTCAGGCACGCTTCATAAAATTATGAGATGGGAGGGGTTTTAAGTTGGTTGAGCAGAAGATTGAAGTCGGGTGTTTTTATCGCAGTAGCCGTTGTTGTATGTCCATCAGCAAAGCTGAAACCTTGTTTATGCCGTTGCAGGTACAGAGTGAGTCTAATAAGGAAGTGACTCGTTAGTGGGAGAGGCTAAAGGGCAATTATCGTGTCGCTCCGCAGCAATGAGGTCCCTAACCTTTTTTTCAGAAGCAGCCAACTGACTTCAGAAGCAATTATGCGAATGATGCACGCATTCGTTGCTTTGCCCGGGCGCTTGGTAGTTGAGCGGACCCCTCAAATTTGTGTTTTTACATAACTAATGGACGTTTTGCACCACTCTGTTATTGGACACCGTATTAGTGTATTTGCCATTTACACAGTTTACATTTATGAAACCATATGTGCAGAAAAAAAAAAAAAAAAAAGTCCCTTAAGTTTTCAAAATGTATACATGCCGAAAGAATGTTCAGACTTATTTATTTAAATAATTTATGAAGTTGTTCCGAAACTCAAATTAAATCCATTGGCATTCAATCCAGTTACACACATTAAAATTTTGAACCGGTTGTCATTTGTAACCCAAATTTTGTTCTTCGCTCAATTTTGCGTGTGTGAATATCCAAAAGTTTTCAATTCTTTCTTCCTGTAAACTCAGATACGTTCCTTATTTAAATTTACGAGCTAATTTTTTAGCAGATATGTCAATATTTAAAAGCACTTGCGTTATATTTCCTACATTTTTCAGAATACTTCACTAACATGATTAAATCTAACTACAAATATGAAGTCCGGAACTTTAAAACTTCACCAACAAATTTATTAATCCTATCGCCGCTTTTAATGAATAAATGCGTTTCGTTTACTAAATGCGGCAAACAGAAATTTAATTTATTTCGAATGAGACAAAAAAAAAAAAAAAAAAAAAAAAAAAAAACATTTTAAAACATTTTAAAACATTGCATAAGACCTTGGGAAACATTTTCCTGATTTCGTTTCCATGTTTCATAAAAGTTTTCAGAAGCTGGACCTCCTAGACAGGAATTTAAATTTAGGTTTATGCATTGATTCGGAGAGCAAGTCATTGCTGATGCCAGAGGTGGATTAAAAAGCGGACCATACGGGCAGTGGTTTAATCTTCTGAGTTTGGTAGGATGCCAGTTGTGTCAAAAATTATTTTTAACAAAATAAATGCTACACTTTTAAAGAGTTACTTAAAATCTTGCATAATGGTTTCTCGAAGTTTTTCTTAAGTTCGCTTTCATGTATCCTTTAAGTTTTCAAAAGTTGGATCTAGTGGAAATGCTAATAAGTTTATATTTATGTAAATATAGGGAAAGTAAATTCTTTAATGGTGGCAGCGCTCGAATAAGCTATTCCGATATCGCCTGAGGCAACAGGCTTAATTCAGCGCCAGATGTGTCGAAAAACTTAATTTAAGTAGCATAAGCTGTTTTTATCTTGCTTAAATAATATTTAAAGGGTATCTGAGAGATCTTTTGCACAAAGATCTGATTAGCTTCGATCGACATTGGCTAATGGAACACAAAGGCTGCAAACTTTAAAGTAGGTCAGCTGTCTTACCAGCGGCGAAAAGAAAAGAACATAAAAATTTCTTAAAAAAGAAAAAGTAAAAAATAATCCTATTTTCTTAAAGAGGGTAAAAACGCAACAGGCCTTAGATATCATTAGTTTTAATGAAGTAATTAGAAGTGTTTCTATTGTCTTCACAGAATTTAAAACCATTTCTTTCACATAATTTCATATTTTAGTAGAGCTAGCTTCAATATTTTATTTCATCATCCATCTATTATTTTCATCTTGAAACAATTTTAGAAAATTATAATTGAGACAGATTACACTTATCAACGACTTGTATTTATAAATGTCAAGACCGATAAACTCTGCACTTCAATATTATATTGTTCTCTAAATGAAAAATAATTTAGCTAATTTGCATTCTTTACATTCCCTACGATTCATTTAAAATAAAATTATGTCCGATATAATGTTTTAATAAATAGTCATATTAATTAATACACTAGTAACAAAAAGGAATTTATTCGAAAACCAAACTTCTGCACACTTTTTTTATAAGTATGCGAGTTAGATTCTGAGATGGAGAAAATATGTGTATATATGTTTTATTCATTTTTTTCTGCACATTTTAACCAAACTGAACAGTTTTGGTGTTAATTCATTACGCATTATGTGAATTACATTCATGTCCATAAATTGAGGATAATGCAAAATCAGGCAAAGGAACAGTTAGAAGCAAAACAAATTTGACTATTTATAAAGCTTATTTATTAAACAAAAGGTAAAGAGCAAAAAAAGATGCTATATGTTTGATATTATTAAAAAAAATAGCGATTTTTTTCTCCCTGGAGCAAATTACAAAAAAAACCTATTTACAAAAAAAAAAAAAAAAAAAAAAAAAAAAACAATATTACATGGTTAGTATGATTGTTAATACATTGTATGTCTCCCAGACGATGCAATACAGACCTTACAACGCCTAGGCATGCTGAGTATCAAATTATCGATCTGATCTTGGGGGATATTACACCACTCAAAAAGCAATGCTCTCCGAAGTTCCGGCAGACATGTAGGAGGAGGTTGACGGGCTGCAACTCGTCGGCCAAGAATGTCCCACACGTGCTCTACTGGATTCAAGTCCGGTGAGAATGCTGGCCAGTCCATACGGGTGATATCCTCCGATTGAAGGCATTCGCTTACGATGTTTGCACGGTGAGGACGGACGTTGTCATCCATAAACACAAATTGTGCACCCATGGCGCCCCGAAACAAACGTACATGTTGTTCCAGAATGACGTCCCAATAGATTTGGCTTGCCATGGTTGCAATTTGAACATGCAGGTCAGTTCTGGAACCCAGAATAATTCCACCCCAAACGAGCACTCCTTCACCACCGTAACGGTGTCGTTCAATGATGTTTTCTTGGGGGTGATGGGTACCTGGAGCTCTCCATATGAAAGTCCGGCGAGAATCAGACTGCAAGCTAAACCTGGACTCGTCGGAAAACATCACACAAGCCCACTTGTTGCGGTGTCCACAATGCATGCTCTCTACTCCAGGCTAACCGCAGGCGACAGTGAGTTGCAGTAAGTGGAACGCATCTGACAGGTCTACGAGCATATAGACCAATCTGCCCTAAGCGTCTGTACACGGTCTGCCTTGAAATTGTCGTACCAGTGGCTGAAGAGAGCTGACGAGACAGGTCTGAGGCTGTGCTCCGCCTGTTTCTTTTGGCAGTAACTGCCAAATACCGGTCCTCATTCGGCGTTGTAACTCTGGGGCGACCTGTGCTGTAACGTCTACTCACATTACCATCATCTTAGAATAGTTTTCAAAGCCTGGAGATGACACTCTGGGAAATTCCAAGTTCGTCTGATACTTCCAGTTGGGTACGCCCACATTCCAGACAGCCGATAATTCTACCATGTAAAAAATCATCCAAATGCGTCCTTTGTGTCATAACTATTCGGTTATTGCACTGAAATGCTTATAAAGCGCCTGCGAACAATTTTACTTCTTTGCCTGTATTCCTTATATATCACTCTCTTACACTCTCGTCATTGTGAAGTACCATCGGTGTCATCTGGTTACTTCCTGAAATTTGCGTATGATTCTTGAAGATGTGTGTAGTGATTTTACAGGTGATATATTTATTTTAGAGTTCGATTTCCGCGTGACTCAGAATTATCCTTAATTTATGGACATGAGTGTAAATATACGTATTGTTACATAAACTTTTTTTTTTTTATATTTTGGGTGCTATTCTTTCAAAATCTAATTTTTTATTCAAATACCTAAGCTTAAATAAACTTAAATTCTTTATGAAGAATGAAATACCTATAGCTGTAGCTTCATACGTATTTTTGAAGTGATTTATTGTTGATTAATAAATAGATATGATGAAATCTCGAATATTAGGTTATGATTTTTAGCTCTATTTTCACAATTAATATTAACTGTAAATTAATTGTTGTATTAACTGAAAAGCTTTTAACTGTGTTCCATTTATCTGTTTCATTAACAATGGCATATGTTGTTTCTAAACATGAAATTAAATAACTGTGAATAATGCAGCAAACTCTAGAAATATTAAAGACTGGTTATAATTACTGATGATTTCGAGAAGCTAAAAATTAAAATCAGAAGATAACTATACTGACTTTCTTAATGTATAATTTAAGTAAGTTCATCCAAAATTCTCTTCTCATGTCTGGTTTCCCAAATAGACTTTAAATATTTTAAGCGAGTTAATGAAATATCACTAAAGTTTTCAAATAAAAGATTTTGCTTTTTATTTCTCAATTATTTTATAAGATCGAAATTGAACAAATTATTGACTGTAGGAATATATGCACAGCCTTTAATTAATATGGTAAAATATTTGTAGGTAGTAGGTATTTACAAACATTTGTCATACAAAATTTTAATCAGTTATTCATAGACAGGATTTTCATTTTGAGACATAATATGTTCAATATTATTATTGAAAATAATACGAATACCAAGACGGACATGACATTTTCCAAATTAATAAATTTTTTGCGTTAAAGGTGCCTTATCTATGTCCTTATAATCAGTAATTATCGATATGCTTGAATATTGAAATATTTAAGAAGTCAGTATAAAATGCTGGCCAATTAAGGAATTGTTACATAAAAGAATTTAAGAAATATCCTCACGAACTCAAGAGTTTACTCATCTCAAGTGTTTTTCTTTACTGAGTTTTAATAATTTTACTATGCTTCATCTAAAGAGCTAAATGTGTTGTTATCAAGACCAATTATAAATTCTTTATACTAGTGCTGTATATGAAGGGCAAACTTATTTGTCTTTTGTCTTCAAGAAGTTCCCTGCAATGAGATCTGCTTCAGTGGTAAACGCCTCTTTCTCGTTAAGAAGAAATGTGCTGCATTTCTTGAAAGGACTTTCAATGTGTTCTTCTCTTTGCATTTTTTTTTTAATTCTCCATTCTCCTTTTTATACGGTGACGAATATTGTGAGAGTGATTATAAACTGAAATACATTCTACGTAAATTTTTTCATACCTTTTAATAAGTCTTATAATAAAGTATTATTTCTTTACGAAAAAGGAAAAATACCAATAGATAAATATCAATAGCTGTAATAATTATTACTGAGTATGATATTTCTTTTAAATACTAAATTATACTATCCCTAGATATGTTACCATTTAATTAGTCTTCATTTAACTCTTCATACACGTCAAAG